TGATTACTCGGGACTTATGGACCAGGGCGGCTGATGAAGGAGTGCCCATAGATGTGATTTACCTGGATTTTTCTAAAGCATTCGACAGGGTCAATCACTTCTTTCTCCTCCAAAAGCTTGCTGCCTACGGTATCAACGGTTCTCTGCTCACCTGGTTGGAAAACTACTTACACGACAGAGCAATCAAGGTAAGAGTAGCAGACACCTATTCTGAAAGCCTTTACGTCTCCAATGGTGTACCTCAAGGATCCGTCTTCGGTCCGATATTGTTTTTAGTCTACATTAATGACCTTCCAGCAGACATTCCATCTCCAATGCAAATATTTGCAGAAGATGCGAAAATATGGAGAGCAATTCGCTCAGCATCCGACCGTGTCTACCTCCAGGAAGATCTGACCCGAATTAACGAATGGGCAGAAAAGAACCAGCTCCCACTGTACCCTGCAAAGTGCCACCAGCTGACGGTGCACAACAACTTCGTCAACACATACCTTTTGGGGCAACACGTCATGCAACACGTGACTAGTGAACGCGACTTAGGTATAATCGTGCAATGTTCGAAAGCAGCAAGTGTGACGAACTTGAACTTGAGACTTTTGAGGCGAGCTCTCGGCACTTTTGAGCGGCGGCTAGTACCACTGTTGATTAACACCTACATTCGTCCTCATGTTGAGTAAGCAATTCAGGCCTGGTGTCCATGGTTAAAACGAGACATCCGCCTCTTGGAACAGCCCCAAAGAAGAGCCACAAAGACAACGCGTGGACTATCCGGTATAAATTACGAATTGCGTCTTCGTGTACTCGGTGTGTTCTCATTAGAATACCGACGGCTTCGCGGAGATCTTACTCTTACATACCGGACACTAACAGAAAGCGAGCATCCGTGTGCATCACTGTTGACTCAAGCCTCATACAAACAAAACCGAGGCAACTACTTGAAACTAGTGACGCAACACTCTCGTTTGAATTGTAGAAAGTATTTTTTCTCACTTAGAATCTGTTCTCACTGGAATGCATTACCAAACTATGTGGTGAACGCACCAGACATGAGGACATACGAAATACACTTAGACTTTCATCTTAGTGATAAACGATACAAAACACTTTGCTAAAGTGCAATGATTTAACAACTGATACTTTACGTTCCACGTTGGAACATTTTGATTTTATTTTCTTTTGCATATCCATCTTGTGGGACTTGTAAAGTTATGATTTTATCCCATCATACACCATTGAACCATTGAACGTAAACAATATATGTGACAGGATCAAACATGGACATCCATTTCTCTTTGCAGATGTGTTTTCAAACTGGTTTACTCATTTCATCCAGACCAATTACATATGTGTTTGGGGAACATCTGTGAAGACCTACCCGCACTAAATATAGCTAGTGAGCGTTTATTAATGAAGTTCTCCGCAGTGAAATCCCAAGTACTTGGGTACAGATGCCGCATCCCAGAAGGCTCCATTATACTTGCCGGAAACGTGATCCCAACGTCTGATTCAGTTCGGGACTTAGGAATCTGATACTCCAACTCTTTCAATTTCTCCTAACATGTTCTTCATCAGGTTGCGAAAGCAAGACAGTTATACGGATATATCACCAGAACTTTCTCCCTACCAGAAGCACGACTTGAATCATTCAAGACAATAGTACGACCGACCCTGGAATATTGTGCTATCGTTCACAGCCAATTGAGAAAGAAAGACAGAACGGCTCTGGAAAATGTCCAACGATCATTTACCAAGCTGGTTATGGGGCGCTGCTCAAACCTGACTTATTATGATCGCTGTCGAAAACTCCAGCTTGGTCCACTTTGGTTGAGACCCTTAAAGTACAACCTCGTTCTCTTCTACAATATTATAAATCAACAAATTTACATAGACAGCACCGCACTTGAACTACGGAAGACTGCAGTCTACCCCACACGTAATGGCGGCTACTTGATACGTACAAACCTTTCAAGTCATAAAATTCGGTCGAATTTCTTCTTAGTGAGATACACTTCTCTGTGGAACAAACTACCCCTACAGATACGCATGTGTACAAGCCATGTCACTTTTCGAAATCTCTTTCAGACCTTCCTCACTATACCAAATGCTTTGAAGATATTTGACTCACAGCAAACACTAGAAACATTGACAGAAGCTGATATAATAAACATATGAGAAGATATTCGCTTACAGCTGGCTTACCCACTACATGTCATTACATACCATACCAAATCCTGTGACTTTACAGCCTAGTAGTCCCTTCCTTTATTATCTACTCCTGACCATACAAACATCCGTAAATTTTACATATGAGTTGCACGGGTCTTGGACTCAAGGAAAAATAATCATGATCCGAAATGCTATCAATAAACTTTTCTTTAATGTCATAAAACGTATTCACTATACAAATGATCGCTCCCAGTTATGGGGCCGTGTACCGTCTGTCGGTAAATATACAAATTTATTTATTTATTTATTTATAAATCCGGACACGGAAGCTACCGAACAAGTCGTAATCGCGGTATTCCGGCACAGTACGCATGTCAACTTCCATTCGGTCTGTACGTGATTCATTGTGTTTGCAGTCGTTCAAAGTAGACATTTTGAACATTTTCATGTATTTGGTGGTGCGACGCAAGTAAAATGCAGTTGGTCAACACAAGTTCGAAACAAAATGCCGGTGAATGTTGGTAAGGACATGCGTTGTTTGGATGTATTTTCTTCTGCCGCCATTTGTTCCGCCGACCAAACCAACATGTCGCAACAAATCAGTTCTGCAGTTGTGCCGAGAATAGTTGTGCGATGTCGGATGTTTTACTTAGTCACGAAGTATTCACACTGAACAAACATTGTGGAGGGCACTTGGTGATTAGCTATTCCTGTGTTTTGCGAACATAAGTACGATTGATATTTATACCCTATAGTGCAACCATGGCTAAGTGAATGCAATTTGCTGGTATAGGTGCTTATCATGTTTCGTGTACTTTGTGACAATTAAGTTATTGTAACACGCATGTGTCCAACCTCTTCTTCTAGCACTATGACCTTTGTGTAACTGGAGAGCTTGTGTTTATGTGTGGCCTGTAATGCGCTATTTTCTTCGGTGACAGTCTGCTTTAGTATTTTAAATACTACACTACACCAACACCAGCTCCGCTGTTTAACATCCGCCTGTTCTGTTTGCTGTAGGTATATGTACACCAAATAAAGCTGTGCAATTTTAGGAGGGTTCGGCGCAACGCACTTATCATCCTCTATTTATGGTGGAAGAGCGGTCTGTTTCGTCAATGGAGCTATTGTACGCCAAGAGAAAGAAAGCTTAGCGGTGCAGCGCCTTGCGAACTTTTCACGAATGGTTTCTTTGCCGGGTAACCTTAGTTGCACGCAATATAACCTGACTGTCTGCTTTCTACCGGAGCACATTCGGTCTAATGGGTGAAATAAGGTACATCCAAGCAGCGTAAGAAGCGTTAAATGTCAAGAATATCCTCAGAAAGCGCATTGTAACCATCCACTTTACGATAAAACACAAACTTGTGGGGGATGCCTTGCTAGTAACACGGAAAAGGACAACCACACAATTGCATAGTGCACATGAAAGGCTATGATGCCTGCTGTATTTATATGAGCTGTGTCAAATATGGACGCAGGTTCTCACTTTGGAAAAGTGTACGTTATTGGTATTACTCATACCATTGTTATTGTTGTAACTGATATACATGTTAATGGAACCACGATTGCTCCGTGAAACCCACCCGTTACCCAAAAGCGTAGACACGGATTACCGAGGAGTTGAGTACCCACCACATGCGGAATCAATCGATCGGATTGCCGGAGCTAAAATCTTCAAATGCACTCACTACAGCTTGCCTATTTTGAATGGTTGAGAGCTGCACTAAATTAGTTGCTGCGAGAGCTGTGACTAAGACTTGGCACTATTCTCCACAGTGTATTAAGTAGAGACAAATTGTGACACCTAATCGTCGGTTATGTTCATCACATTCCTCCATACGGTGATTGGGATGGACTCACAAGAGATACAGTTTTCAATGTTTATTGTGAAATAACTCATACGTGACTTAATTCGTTAGCGTCAATATGCTTGTGCAGAACGCAATTGTCCCAATAATCGATGCTTGGCAATGAGATTTGATATGTGTCAAGCTCTGTTCTGGGAGCTCAATGGTCTAGTGATCATGGCAAAAGCTGCCAAACTCTAGATGCCGAATTATACTCCCAAATTAGGCTACCACTATCTACTTAGTCCGGAACAAGGCGAAACCGTCGGTCGTGAAGTGCAGGGATGGGAGATGGCCACACCGAAACTCTCCTCATTTGGTGTCTATAAACTTTAGATTGTACCGAGCTAAATGCCATTGGCTACTCTATGAGTGTAGTGATATCGGTAAAGATCGTTTCGTTCGTTTATGGAGGAAGTCGAAACAACTGGGACTTGTTCTAAGCTTAGTCTGTGACATCTTACGTGATGGACCTATTCAAACAAGGCATGCTGGAGGCATGGAAGTATTTAGGAGAGCCAACGGTAGATGACCACACACAAAATCAATGTTTGCACACACGTCGCTGTTGACTTCTGCTCATATTAGCTTCCAAGTAACACAAGGGATTCAAATTAGCGTATCGCAAATAACCTTGGTCCACTTATCGTAATCGTTTTCCACTTTTAGAACATACTTACCGAGTTTGGCCCATCAGCCCATCGAATTATGCATTTAGCCGAATTTCTATTAACGCATTTTTCTGATGTAATAATTTAATGTCTAAAGCAACAACAATCAAATTTGGTCACGTTCGATTTATAAAGAAACTAATTAAGTAATTTGTATATTTCTCGACGGGCAGTATCCGGCCCCATACGTGGGAGCGATCATTTGCTAAATTCGTCGATTTGCAGAGTAAAAGGGGAGGCACCTTTACCGTCATTCGTGAAGCAATCACACCTAGGACAAATATGCGGAATGGGAAATGTAAGAAAACCCGATGAAACGAATGTGATTAAAGATTTTATTCATAGCAGTTAAAATGATCTTGGCAAATCGAGTTGATACATTTAGAAACCATGGTTTTGAGGAGCATCTGCATATAGGCGGATTGTGATCATAAACCGCAGAGAGTATGTGAAAGATACCGAGCAACTACACCTCGATTGATATTTAAACCGGTTGGAGGTGGTGCTTCAAACGCTCTTGTCTCAATCGACATTCCGTAAATCGCTTATTGATCGTTGGCAATCACCGGTCTGTAATCGGAAATGAAATGAATTGACGTCACAATGAACACAACCTGTGTGCATCGTAGCAGCAAATGTACAGACTACCTATTGCGCAAATATCACTGTATTCTATGTCAGCAACGAGTTTCTTCCAGTCGGAAAGCACGAATTATTCAATGTGACCATAGTCTCCCATGCCATTAGGCTAAATGAACCGTGACTGTGATTACACTTATTAATAGTCTCGGCCATTTTGTTAACCTTGTCGGTTATATCGCATACACCATTTGCGAGTGCAAACATGGCGTTCGTCTGGTCGCTCCAATGGCATTGCAACTATCCGAATCAAATCTGGCAAACCTGTGACTATTGTAGATACCCGTTTTTCGGAAACCAAAGAAGATACAGTCAAAGCACTTACGGACGGCGTTGTTTTCGGAGTAGTATACACACATTTGATTGTGGTGAGCTTTGTTAGGACAGAGTCTTGCTGCAGAAAGAACAAGAGTAACGTTGACCGTAAGAATCTCAGCCACACTTACCACAAACATATCACTGGACGTGGATTCCCTTATTGTGATTGTGTCGGTGTTGTCATTGGTATGACTTGAACTCAGTGGCTTCCGAATTACTTTGAAGAACGTTGACTTTAACGGACAATAAAATAAATTTACCGATCAAATCCTTGCTGTCAAATTTGTTTACTGCTCCTTCGGATGGAAAGACCGACAAATCGGTTGATGAGGTTTGTACATCGAAATACAAATGAGAATCAGAACCATTGTACAAAGAGATGTTGGAAGAAAATGGTAAATCGAATGAACCTTAAAAGTAGATGTGGCCCAGCTTAATTGAATACCTTCAAACAGGAGTTCGTGGTTCGGTTCAATAGCCAAAATCTCATATTCGTAAGGGATGCACTTTACTCTGCGTGTCCGAATTTGTGCTGGATTTGTGTGTTCAAACTAGGAACAAAGAATGGCGGCAAATGTGGTAAATGCAATTCGTCCACGTACCAGCTGAGGTAAATCTTCTTCTTTCTCATTCCCCGCTAGCATGCTTTGAACGATTAGCTCATGGTTGCGATTTGCCGGATACTCAAGATCAAAAGGCAATAAGAATACTGCAAGCGGATGTTTTATAAAATCTGCTTACCATAAACATACGATTCTTGCTCTGGATCGATGGAACCGTAGCGAGGCTTGAAATAATACAATTTGGAAGCAGTGGACTCCAGTTGGTAGTATACCTTAGCGTTAGTCAAATTTTTCAATCTCACAGTCGTTCTTACGCCAGTTGTGTAGTTGTCAGCTTTTCGAGAAACTATTCGGGAAACATGCACGATGATTTGGTCCGCAAAGCGGATGAGCTGATTAATAAAATCATTAAGGCATCCAAATAAAACGTAGCATGATTTAGGAGAGTGCTCTTCACACAGAGTGTAACTTTAGAGGGTCGCCTGTACCGGGAGTCCAGAGAGCGATTCGAGAAGGCAAATCGAGTTGCAGGGAAACTTTATTGATACAGTAAAAGATTCCCTGTTATCTAGCTATAAAATAACGACATCGTGGACGCTCTAGCTAGAGGAACGGAGAATGCACAGCATACAAGGCAGTCGCGAGTTGCAACCGAAGCGAGCGCCAAGCAATAATGTCGCTGAGCAAGTTAAGCATTCGAACTCAGCAATCAGTTCAACAAACCACACCGGTTGCCTAAGTGTACAATGAAATAATTTTAGCTAGAATTTTACACAGGCAAACCGGGGAATCTTCAGACTGCTTCATAACCCATACCGTATAACGATGAATGGTAACAATCAAACCGAGAACTGAATTGGATAATGAGTATATCCTACACAGTTGTTTAGGACCTTCAAGTCACAAATCGATAGTGAACTTGATCCATCCGTGACATTCGTGGGATGTTTGTAGCTGACTTGAGCGAACAGCTAAGTAGTTATCTCTCGATAAGGGAGACACGATCCTAACAATTGTTTCGATCAAATTGTACAAAGGGATTCCAAAGATCATTGCATACTTTAACCAATTACTGCACACCATCTCCATTTAGCAGGTTATTCTCTATGTGGCCTGAGAGTGCACAAGATTGTGCGTCAAATTCTGTCTCATAAGATATGCAACTTCATGGAATAGGCATACCGAATTCATTAGCAGCAACAATACTAAGCATGTATTTCGTGCGCAAGTGTTCAGTCACGTAACAGTAAAGGTGGTATTACGTATATCGGGCGGATCTACGTCACTAGACGCTAGTTATGAGAATGCCTCTATAGAACTTAATTTTCGAGCCTCACATCTATCGCATTCATAATTCTGCTCGTCTTAGGTCTTACCTTCTAAACGTCTTGACCCTGCTTAGCTTCCTTTTTTCATGTTCATTCTTTCTAGGTTCAGTGCTGTATTTGCCCCACTTGGGCTACCGAGTTACATAACGTTAGAAGTTTTGGGCACTGACACTCCTAACCATCCTGCACTGGTTACTGGTCATCTGAATTTTGCTGCTGTCTTGTCTTGGTTTTGAAAAATTTACCTCGGTACACCATATCATAACATTACAGCTAGTTGGTTAACTAATGCTCTGATGAAATCGCAAATGTGACCCAGGGTTTGTCACTTTGCTTCACCACATCTTAGCCCTCATCATCGCTTAATTTTTATCCGTCTTGCAAGCTCGCCATCTGATAACACTGCTTGATTGGTAGAATTAGAAGCCAGATCCTGTTTCGGACACTATCATCATCTTGCTCTAGAATCTTCCCTTATCTTTTAAGCTGGCCTGAAAGTTAACCGTGTATCAGACTGGCCCCTGTCATTTGAGATAGCCAGGCTTCCACGACTTCCGACCGCTACTCCACTCTATCTTAACTATTTCCATGAAATTCTCTTTTAGCTGGCTCCATTATCCCCCTTACGCCTGTTAACCTCAGACTCAGTGATAGGTAGACACACTGCCTCCCATTTTTCACAAACTTGCTCTTCCTAGCTTATGATGTTATTCGTGTCTTTGTGCTGGTTTACTAACAATTAACATTGTCCAGAATAAGCACAGAGGTGTGACAGGTGAGGCATATAAGCCTGACTGTACGCCGTAATTATTCGGAGTATAGCGGCTATACAGCTCTGCACTACAGCTCATGACTATGTATATAACAGAAACTTCAAATAGTAAGATGAGCAGACAGATAGTAACGATTTGAATACCGCAATAGCCAAACACGTGAGGATGAATGACCAACGATTCTTATGGAGCCTGGCCATATTATCCCTATTCGTCTAGAATGCTGAATACTGAGGATAGAGCGAGAGGCTAACAATTTGTGTTGCTCCACCGTAGGTGGATCGGGCACGTGCACGGGACCACGTCGCTGATTCCTGCGCGGTGGCAGCGTATTGCAGCTGCACTACATCTAATCCGGATGCCATACGCGCCCTATACCTGTAGTCCGCAAAGTGGACGTCAAGCAATCGGTTAAATTCCGACACCGATTTCTGCTCGACTGTGTTCTCAGGCACGTTGTTCCAATGTTTTACCACTCGATGCTCGAAGCATACCACTAATTTGTACCCTTGTCCCCATGTTCTGCTTCGTGCGCGAACCTACAGCAGAGACATCAACATAGTGAACTGGGCCAGGTGTAGTCTGTGGTGCGTCATAACGACATCAAATCGAAGACGACGCAATGACAGACTTTACAGCCCTAGTCTCCTACATCGGTCCTAGTACCACATGCCCGGCAAACTGGGGATGACCTGGGTAGCTACATGTTGGACCCGTTCCGGTTTATGCACCTCACTTGTTGGGATCGGACAATAGGTGGGTGAGCCGTATCCAAGCATCCGTCTTATCATTAAAGAGAAAAGACAAGTGGCAATCACTTCAGCCCAAATGCAAAAGCTGCATCTAAGTGTCCAAAGCAGGTGTAGTCCGTTTACGTACCGTCTGCTCATGTTGTCGACAATCTAAAAATCACAGTGGGAGTACGCTTTTAGATCCTTTACGGAACTAGTGAGATGCAGCGGGTGGTCGGCAATGGTGAACGAACGCGCATTACCACCACTCTCCAGGCTCATAAAGGAGGATTTAACCGGGTTGACCAATAAGTGAACTTCTGCAGACAACCGGCATAGGTGGTCAAGGTCCTGTTGAAGGACGTCACAGTCGCCTGGACAATTAATAATCTGCCAAATCTTCAGGTCATCCTCAAATAATACGCAGGGCGACGGAAGAAGCTAAGGTATTTCGTTGATATGGATCAAGAATAAAAGTTGCCCCAGTACTGTGCCTTTGGGAACTCCGCTAGTGGACATGTACCAATCCATTTGCTGTTCATCCACCTGAACCCGCCATTTTCTCCCAATAAGGAAGTTATTGATCCACTGGTGCAGTACGCCACCAACACACCACATCCTCAGCTCATGGAGTGGGACCTTATACGTCTTTGGAGCGAAAACTTTACTACAATCAATGTATATAACATCCTCTGACTTCCCCGATTCAACGCTTGCAACTATTCTTGCGACGTCAAAACCATGTTGGTGATGCACGAGTGGATTCGCGTAAAGCGGTGCTGTGCCCCCGATAGGAGGTCTTTCGACTCTAGCAACAGAACAGGACGCTTTTGCACAATCGTCTCGAGGGCATTAGCCAAAATAGAGGTGAGACGATTCGGCCGGTTATTAGCTACATTGCGTGCATCACTGCCTTTTGGAATCAGCTTCACTATCAAGCGTTTCCAGTCGCTCGGCAATGCACCGTCGGACAGCAATCTGTTGAACAGATACGTCACGGCAGGTGAGATGATGGCCGATAATGACTTCAAATTAGCGGGTGAAGTCCATCGGGTCCAGCAGGTTGCGTTCCGTCAACGTTGGCGACTAGAGTGTGGATGACTTTTACACCGAAATCCAGGCCCACGAGTTCTGTAGTGGCTGCACATGTCGAGCTCGGCATAGCCGTATGCCCACTTGTAAATACGGAAGCGGATTGCTCCGCCAATGCGGACACACGTTCGGTGCTGGAGGTCAGAAGCTGTCTGTCAGTGACCTCTAACATAGCTACCTCACTTGGGTGTCACAGGCGCCATTTTACGTAAGCGAAAATCTGCTTCAGCACGGTCTTCGCTAAGGCTGCAAGCTCCTTTTCAACCTGCCGACGCTTTCGCGTTTTTGGGCTGTTGCCTAGATTCCGCTGTCTTTTATAAGCCTTATAATCGCCAGCAGAGTTCGACACGAGTAAATTATTTCATACTACACGTCGCCGAGGAGCCAATTGACACACTCTCTGTCATTGTGATTGCACTGTTTCAGCTTTCCGATACTTGTGGGGTGTGAAACGCGCGAACAAGCATTGTACGCCCACCGTCATAACATACCAACTGGCTTCAACAGCTGAATCCTGCGGCCACGACCAGTCTACTTCTCTGATGGTCCGATTGAGACCATCGAATTCCGTCTTGTAGTAATTGTAAGACGGCTCCGGCGGACTAGAGTAGGGAAACGACAGCTCTAGGTTGGCTAACACCATCGAGTGGTCGCTACTTCAGACAAATCAGTGCCTCGAACTCGATGCTCAACATCAAGCTCTCATGCAGCACGGTGTAAGAGTAACGGTCCAGCGGTAGCCACTGCGATACTAGTGTCTCCTCACAAAGATGCGTTCGCCACACATTCCTCAACAGGATACCCCGCCACACTAAACACTGTCAGAGGGCCGACAACCTAGGCGTCCGTTGTTGCTGCCCATATGATGGAGACACTTCCCATCACAACCCCGCCCGCTGCCAAACGAGTTACTACTGCCAATGCCACCACGGGACTCATGACCTCATCACTTGTCCAACCGAAGAAAGCAGCCATTGGACCCTGCAAAAGTGAGCACATGAAACACTACCATAATTATCTAACAGTTATATACTCTAATGTGACTGAATCCGAGGCAAACTATATAAAACTTAAGATACTAGACGACAAAAGCAGTGGAATTCCCTGTGTCAACTAGTACGTGTTCAAGTTAAACCAGTCAGTATGATGTGTCTCTTCCGTCACCCAAACTCCGTACACTACGGTGAACCGCGGTTACTCCAAGTAACCTTTCAGTCAGGTACTGATGCAGAGGCAGTTCTCTTGTCAGCCACTCGCCTCCGTACCACCACATGCACTGTTCGAATATTTCCAGATGTTCATTGGGGCGAACACCAGCAACGGAAACAAAATCTGGATGACGTCAGTAAACAACAAGACGCGAAATATATCCTCGTTCACGGTGTCCCCGAGCTCCAGTCACTAAGCGAGCTAGAGGTCAAA